GACTGAATTAATCCATTCTTGGGAAAACGCCTTCCAATCTTCCCTATGCATCGCTTGAGAACTCCAACTTCCAAGCCTCCCACACTTCTCCCACGCTAACTGGACGAAGCGAACAGCGTCGGGCCAATAGCCCAGCTTGCGCCTGGCCCCCACGTGGCGCAGGAGCCAGTCGTGGTCTCGGAATTGCAGAACCTTAGTGATTGGCCTTCTGTCGAACTCCGTATACCGGGCTGCGTGGCCCCAATATCTGAAGAAAAGCAACGCGTGGCTAATTGCCCAGCGAGAATGGTCAGTCGCTTGAATGGCCATACGGGCAGAACGACGCCGGGCAATCCAATTATGCAAGTGGGGTTGAAAGGGGTCAAAGGCAGGCTTCATCATGCTTGTAACAAGGCTTGTTTGTAGGACATCCAACATGTTACGCACCTCAGTGACTGGACGAAAAGCTGCCGACATCCATTTCCACTTGTTACTGACGTAAGCGTCAAAAAGATGCAGCCTTTGCTTCAACGAGGCGGATCCTCGGCACAAAAAGGCCGAATGCCCCCAGAAAGCTCCTGTGGCCCCCGCCAAGCGGCGGGATAGTGTAGTCCCGCAAGAAACCCCAAAGCCAATTAAAATCCCCAAGAAGAGAAAGGAGGGCTTGCACTGAATAGCTTCCTCAACCTTCGTGCCCGGAAGGCAAATCGGACTCGTATCCAATCCTGGGCTGCATAAGTATTGGCACTTTTCCAGAGAGAGGCGTAGGCCGATCCCTCGGAGGGCCTCGCGTACCTGAGTAATCATTTCGGCAAGCTGACCCCTGGAGGTTGCCAGGAGCACGCAAAAGAACCCCTCGGGAGTCGCGAATCCAACTGGGAAAGAGTGCCTGCCATCTATGTAGGACTGGTGCCAGAAAATAATCTAGGACCCTTGCAAAAAGCTCTGCGGAGTACGCGGACCCTTGTTTGAGCCCTTGCCTGAGTGGTTGTTTCCAAACTTCTCCCCCCATAGAGAGGAGGGCACTGGACCCTACAATGATCCTAAGGAGAAGGTGGCTTTCACGCAACGGTCCAATATGACTCAAAAAGCGTGCAACCCCCTCATGAAGCAGCGTGTCAAAAGCCTGTGCAATGTCGAGCTTGGCCGCGTAAAGCGGCAACCCCCATTGTTGGGACTGCCTAACGACATGCTGCAATGTCATCGAGCCATCAAGGCTTTGAGCGCCTTGAAGTCCTGACAGCTGTCCTGACAACATCGGGGGCCAGTGATGACGCAATCTGCACAGCAACAACTTGCTGAAGAGCTTACCGGGGGTGGATGACAAAACAATCGGGCGCAAATCCTTTGGCCTAGCAGGCGATTTAACCTTTGGCAGGAAAACCACCTGCGACTCTAACCAAGACAGGGGCAATGGGCTGTCTCCATGCAATATGGAATTAAAGAACTTCAGGAGCTTGCATTGAAGGGGAGATTGAATTATTGCATGCAAAAGCTCATACGGGATCCCATCGGGGCCAGAGCTCTTGCCCGCCTTAGTCGTGTTCAGAACATCCTGCACTTCCTCAGCAGTGAAGGGCACTGCGTTAGGTAATTCACCTACTGCAGCAGTATACATGTTGAGCGCGAATTCAGGCGGGCGCGGGTCTTCAGGGGTGTACTTGCGGGAGTAGAAAGACTTCAAGTCTGCTACAGCAGTGTGGAGTCCCCCCGCTCTCATGATGTACCCCCCATGCGTGGCCTTAGTTGATTGCCTTCTTTTGAAGAAACTGATCGCGTGATAGTCACCTGATGACCCCCGCTCAAGCAGGGAGGTGATCCACTCCTTCTTGGCAATGGCCCGGGCCTTGACGATGGCGTGGCCCAGTTCCTTAGCACGGGCACCTGTTGCACGTCGTCTGTCCTGAATCAGGCACTTGATATGAGGGCCATCCACATATCTGTAGGAGCGGGGGCGAGTACATGTTTGTTTTGCCAAACCCTCAAGGCACGACATGTCAAAAGGGAGATTCAAAGTGTCCAGCTGCTCGCTAAGTGCTTCGCAAGTAAAGGGGGCCTTAGTTAGGTCAACCCTCCACTTGCCGCACAAATTCCTGGCACTATATCTGCCAGAACGGCAAGCAGGGGAGCGGAAGTGCTTCTGAAGTCCCAGGGTGCAGCATCGATGATCCGTTCCCAAAAGGTCGTCAGACTCTTCACACACCTGAGAAAAGACAACCTTGGAGGCTCCCAAAGGAAACAGGATATAATCAATTGTTGAGCATGCTCCCCTAGTATTTTTCCACGTCGTTTTCTCCGGGTACATGCGATCAAGGCCAAAACCCTTCACAAAACCCTCGAGAAAAACCCGTCTCTCATCATTGTTTTCAGGGTCAAGGGACTGCAAATCGAGGTTGAGATCAGACAGAACCAAGACGTCATCCGAAAAACGTAAACCTTGAAGATGTTCCCCAAGTTGCTCGAGCTGTTCTTGCCAGACTTTAAGGCAGTCAGCTCTCTGCCTATGGGGAAGATGCAGACTAATTACGAATTCCTTGCAGCCACCTTTCTGAAGGACAACAATCATGCCAGTTTGCAATGGGACAACTTTACATACATACTGTAGGTCCCCAAGCGGAATTCCAACTGCAGTGCCTCTGAAACTGTCGGGTGGAGAACAGAAAAAACACATGTAGGACGAGCGTCCAAACTGGACTTCTCGTTGATCCCAACCATGTAAGGGAACATCTTTAAGGCCACCCACCTCCTGAAATGCGAAGAAATCAAAACCCTCACCACCCAGAAGATCCCAGGTCCTAGCAACATCTTCAAGGGATTTTCCCCTCAAGTTCCACGTCCTGGAGAACAACGTAGGCGAGTGGCAGGGCATGGGCCCCTAAGGCCGCGAGGTCACTCGCACCTCCCAGAGGCCTTGCAAAGCATCGGGCGGATGTCCTGTCGCCTGGGAGAAACGATCGGCTAGTATCACCCAGCCCGTGTGGTTTCCACGATTGTCCGTGAGCGGGAAATCATGGTCTCCTAGTCCATCAATGTCGGGGCCCGCAAGGATATTAATCGCGCCAACAAACACCTTTCCACGCCAGTCGAGTTCAGCGTGTTTCTTGACTTTACCCCCCCCCAAAGGTAAGTTGATCAATGAACTCCTTAACGCTAACAACCGCGCGAATCTTTGCACGATCTTCGGGAGTACGATGCCTCTGGATCCAAATGGGCCTGTTCTCACTCCCAGGTGCCTGGCTGACCCATTTCTTGGCTTTGAGTTTCTCCAAAACCTGCGTTTGAAAAGCCCGCTGTTGAGAAACACTCGTGTAATTAGGGGGGAAGCTCAGCGACACCCGAACATGCGAAGTCCTGTTATAGGCAGACCAGATGTCGGCCCATACATCCTTCAGGTTGACACTCTCGAACATGGACTTGGCTTCCTCAACGGCATCATCCCTACGTGCATCTTCCCAACCTCCAATGACGAGGTGGAGTTCCTCCTCAATGTTACGTTCGCGGGGCGGTGTGGGGCTACGACCTCCTCTAGGCGTGCCTCCCCCTCGTGACGGTGTGGGAGAACGGGACTGTGCACGAAGGTCCCTGACCTGCCTCTCAAGATTTGCGATGCGCAAAAGACTTCCTTCATGCAGTTCACTGTGCTCTTTGATTGCAGCCTCGTTTGCCTCGACTCGGACCTGTTGATTTTTAAATTCAGAAGACAAATTCACTAATTCTCTATGCATTTCAACATGCAACAAATTAATGTCAGTCAGGTCCTGTTGCATGAGGGCAAGCCTGGAGGCGATACGTCCCTCAAGCACACTAACCCAAGGAGGAACCTCAACGTCACTTGCAGAATCCCTTGCACGAGGAGCATCCCTTTTGTAGGGAGTTGCTCGTCCACCGCCTCTGCACGGTCCTGCAGCCGCAGCACTCAACTCGTCGTCTGCGCCAAGGTGAAAAACCTCTGGACCCCGCGAAAGCGGGCCCGTACCCCCCCCGGCTCCACCTCCCCCGAAACCAGGGGGGGAGGGGAGGCCAGTGGCATCCAAACGAGGAACCTTAGCGGGCGGCGGGTTCTTAGGCCCGTCACTTCCCGAACTGTCTCGATCAGAAATAGCCCCTCCTTCCAAAATGCTCCCGTGATGGCAGATGCTCAAGGCGGGCCCGCTCGCCTTAGCACGAAGGAACTGGGGCCCCGGGATCAGTTCAGCAGACTCATGACTTTCCAGAGAAGAGAGTCGCCTCGGAATAGGGACCGGTGGTTCAATGTCAAGCAGAAGGTCGGAAACCCCACCGGGAGAGGGCACCCCTCCAGCATCTACAATGGTTACATCTTCTTTCCCGGTCACATCAACCTCGATTTCAGTGTCTTCAAGTTTCTCAACACCAGCCGAAAGCAGGCCCATCCCAAAAGGAACAGTAGAAGCCTGGCTATCCGCAACCCCACTACGAAGCCCAGTAGATGCAGCAGCATGCCCAGAAATCATCGCTTCAAGATGACAAGGAGGGACAGAGCGACGAGAGGAGAGGAGGAGAGACGCGACAGACGACCCAAGACAAGACGGAGACGGACCCGGAACGGACGACTAGACGCCCTGAGAGCCGAAACTTGTAGCCATTTTGGGTTTAGGGTTTAGGGTTTAAGGAGGTTTAGTTTAATCAGCAAACTTATGACAAATACTTGTCCTACTTACACACATATACCATACAAACATGGTAGACATCTGCAACGACAAGTCTATATGGGGGGCTTCGCACGACGCCACCAACGGGGTTTAGAGCAGCGAGATCCCAAACGATTCCTGAGCCTTGCACTCCCTCGATAAGCAGAGCCACCTATGAACAGTGCTGCTATGCCCAAATAGACGGTTTCAACACCAACATGCCCAACAAAACCCGGGAAGCAAGCTGATCTACTCTTCTATCCATTTCAATTAGATGCGGTGAGACAACACGATGATATACATGAGTAGCTAGAAAAGACCTTACTTTTCCGTCCCGAGCACTTGGAGCTCTGAATGCCGTCGGGGCGTCACCTGTCTGCGTGCTCGGACAGGGCTGGCTTGTGCCGGAAACTCCTGTGCCAAGGACCGAGAGGGTTCCCCAAAGGGTCTAAGTACTAATATGGTAGATACTTTGGGGCCCCAAATACCTACTATATGGGTACTTGACCCTTTGGGTTCTAATGTTAAGGGCGCATGCCCTTGCCTAAATAAGGGTGGCACGCGGTTCCTAGAAATGGAATTTTCGCAGGTTGACGTGCTTACGCGCGAAACCTAAGCAAGAAATGCATCACATGCTCCCGGGTTGAAGATGAAGGGCATCTAACGCTATTAATCCTAAGTCCTAAGTTTTGCACCGAGCTTATGAAGTGTCACGCTGAAGATGCGGGATTCCGAAGACTTCGTGTGAACTCCTGGCGGGTGCAACTCCTCTGGTTCCAGAAACCTGGCTCGCAACTATAATGCAAACAGTAGGTTCCGCCACCAAGGATCTACTGAAGCTCACCAAAGACATGCCCAAAGCTATCCCAGCCCAACACGCAACAGCGACCATGGTGACTATTGGTGATGGAGTTACAATGACAGTAAGGTTCCTATTGGTTCACGGTCTATTTTAGTCTCTGATTCTTCTCAAGCAAATCTGAAGATTCTTAAGTCCTGAACGCTCAAACAAGAATGTCCAAAGCTCCGAGGTCCTCGAACTCTTTGTCGGGGGCCACGAAGACAACCCATTTCCGACCTGTGAAAACGACACCCGAATAGTTACTAGCGTAGTACGAGGGTCCATTCATGGGTTCAGAAGGGGATTGCAGGCGGCACAGCAATTCGACTAGGATTGTTGACGATGTTTGACTTACTAGTATTCTTAGTTTCATCATTAGTATTACCACTACTACTACTACTACTACTACTACTACTACTACTCCTGCTACTACTACTACTACTACTACTACTACTACTGCTACTACTACTACTACTACTACTACTACTTCTACTTCTCCTACTAC